CCAAAAAAAAAAAAAAAAAAAAAAAAAAAAAAAATTTAAAGAAAGAGAGAAAAAAAGATGTAAATGCCATCACAAAAACAGAGAAAATAGCTGAAAGAGAGAGATTGGATTCTCTCCTGAGTAACTTTATTGCACGTATTATCCAAAAAAGAAAAAAATCATCTTTGCATCTTCCCAAGGAGAGGAAAAATTAAATTGAACAAGATTATTGCCTAAACATACAATCCTCTAAAGATTTGAAATTGCAGAAAATAAAAGAAAATACCTGTGCAGCCCCTTTAAAAACAGCTTCGAATATGACTCCAGTATAGTAATCAAGACCTCTTGCAAGACTCAAGTCAAAAACCACTTTGTCAATACACTTTGACTTCTCCAAAGATTTGAACAAAACCTCCAGTTCGTTCAATGCAAGCTCGGACTCACTGTTCTCCAAAAACTTACTGCCTTCTTGTTTTAGCTTAGACAATAGTTCCACGGGAGCTCCCCTTTGTCCAACAAAAGTTCCAATTTTATCTGCCATCTCCTCAGTCAAACCCTTCTCTTCCACCTAAACAGGTGAAATCATATATGTAATCTACAAATCTTAAACAGTGTTCTTTCACAAAATTTAAAATATCTGCACAAATAACAGCAAAAACAGTAGATTTTGTATATTAAAAGTTAATAAATCTCAAACAAAATTGCTTAAATGAATGTAGAATTCAGAACATTGCCAACAAAGAAGCTTAGGTTACACTGTCTGCACTATTCATGGGATGGTTCCAACCCAACAAATTTTCAAATATGTCCCTCCAAAATTAATTAAAAACTCTCAATGGGCATATACACGAGAGAGGCGGATTGTGTTGAATACTCCTGTACAAGTCTGAGCAACACAGACTGAAGTTAAAGATTTATATTTAGTCTACCCTCCCTCCATGGACTCCAATACTCCTCCAAACTAAACTAACAACGAACTGCAAAACCAATATCGGAAAAGAAAATTTCCGATTCTCCCAACACAGATGAGGAAGGACTCTCCTACTCTAGAATATATTTCATTTGAATTTGGGGGTTTAATTTCTGTCTACTTAAAGGTTTAGATTAATATGACATGGAAATCTATTTTAATGTCCCATCTGATTCCAGAGTAAATTTTTTCTTTTTTCTTTTTTTTCTCCGTGAGGGAAAACCAAATGTTATACTCAAAGTTGCCAAGGGAAGCAACCCATATACATATTCATAGACAAAAAGTGTAAATGTCATTGAAAGGAACTATATATCACCATAAAAACAACAGAACACAACCAACAAAATCTCAATACTACTTTATTTAATCCTGAATCCTAGAACTCCTTCCTAGATAACTCAGTCATTTACCTATAATTATAAATAAACAATCAAAAGTATACAAACCAGTTTCATTATGAAAGTAATGCTGAATAGAGTAACTTTGAAAGAATCGGAACTAGAAAGCCAGAGAGAGCGGAGACGAGACACAAAGGGAAGAGGTGAGTGCTTTATCTTAGCATTTAGTATGAAAAAATATGATGAGTTCTCTTATTCCATTCACAGCAGCGAGTGAACATCCCCAATTAGGGCAATAGGCTGACTTACTATAACATAGAGTGTAAACACTATACACCAGATCACGACACTCACCATTTCCTTTTTTATCTGCTCAAACGTCTGCTTGTCTAACTTGTCAATACTTGAACAAATCGTTCTAAATTTTTCTTGTGGAACCCCACATAAAGCCAGCATTCCATCAAGTAACTTCCTGTGATTCAGCTTCACCTGCAAAATCATAAAAAGTTAATGAAGCAACATATGTATCTAATCAAACATCTTAAAAAGATTTGTCAAAACATGCACGAATTGAAAAGGGACAAGGAAAGCAAAGCAACATAAACAAAATAATATTATTATATTACCATTAGCAAATGAATACTAAAAATATATAGATAAACTAATAACATCATCCGGTAAAAGCTTCAGTTAATATTCTTTCAAATCTGAAAAACAATGCTGATCGACCACCAGCCACTAGACCAAGATCAAACATTTTCCTTTGGTTCTTATATTACATAATGGCAGACCATCATTTCATCATTGATATAGCAGATAACAATAGTAAGATAAGGCATGTAACGATCTCGGAGGTTAAAAAAATTATGGGGGGTGGGGGGTGGGGCGTATTCACTTGGGACTTTTAAAGACTTTTGAGAATTTAAAAAGTTTAGGTTATTTCAATTGAGACTTTTAAAACTCTCTAAAAGTTTAGGTGTATTCAATTAGAACTTCTATAGACTTTTAAAAGTCTCTAAAAGTCACTATGTATTCAATTGAAACATTTTAGATGTCTCTATAAGTCATGAGGTATTCAAATGGACAATGACTTTTGGAGAGTCCTCTACCTACAGGACTTCTAGAAACTTTTTAGTGAAAAATATAAATAGCAGATCTCAAAAAAAAAAAAAAAAAAAAAAAAA